GTATTCTTTAGTGATTCCTTTAGTGCACCCATTAAAGCTTTGGATGTAATTTAGGCATTTTAGGGTAGATTTAGGTTATGATTTTTATACCATGGAATATTGACATATATAAGATGATATAGTATTTTCCTTAGAATTTTTAGGATTGATTTTCCTTTAGTTCCCTATTTTGCAAATTGACCTTAGAATAGGTAGTCGTTAGGAGATAACACTTGATGTTTCTTTAGAGATTCAATTAGGTGATGATCTTTCCCTAGGATTAGTTCCCTTTCAAGCACTCCTTTGCTTAATTAGGATCCTTCATTGTGGGTATAATTCCTCCTGTGGAGGAATTCCCTGCCTTACACATTAGAGTTGAGACTAAACAAGCTCTCTAAAGGAAATGGATTTGGTTGAGTGTTTGTGGCAAGCTCCTGTGGAACTTACCCTGCTTCTCATTTCCATCCTCCTAAAATTCCCTCATTCTTTCCTCTTTAGGAACCTTCTTGAGGTAGTACAGTCCCTCCTGTGGGGGGAATATGGCACACCTCTTGAAGGAGCAAAACCCCTAGGTTTTCCCAAAGATCTTTTTGTTGGTTGAGTGCCTGGGATAAGCTCCTGTGGACCTTACCCTAGCCTCCCAACACCCAATTTCCTTCCTTAAGGTGGAAGCTGGTTTGATTGCTTCAGGGATTCCTTTCCTTCTCTTGAAGATGGTGGACTTGAAGAAAAGCTACAGACTTTGGATTGGATTGCTTCCAGAAGATTGCTCTGCTGTGGAGATTGCTGGCTTGTTTTCCCTATCTGTTTAACTGTATTGATGTGTATTGATGTGACTTGATTGGTGTGTTGCATTTAGATTAGGTCATGTAGTTGAATAGGCCTAAGATCATCCTAAGGGTTGAGTTTCTCCCCTTGCTTGTATTGCATTAGAGGTTGAGTTTCTCCATCTGCTTGTATTTTTACTGTATGACTTTGCTTGCTGGTATTTGGTAGAGCTCAGCTCCCTTACCTATGTGGTTTGTGGTTTGTTTGAGTGCATTTACTGTCTTTTATTGTCTTTGCGATTATTCATATCTGGCTTGAGGTTGAGATAAGCTTGTGGAGGCTTATGCCCCACACATATTTCCTCCCTCACTTGCATTGCATGCATCTTTACAGTAATTTCTGTACAGTTTTTCTGTTTACTGTTTGATTTCCATTACCATGTTCCCCTAGGAGCTCTGACTTCTCTTCTTCAAGAGAAGTTATGGCAGACATTAGGATTCTAACCATGCATGATAACAGTAGTTAGTCTCCCCTCTAACCTCAAACGTAGGACGAATATTGCATGATAACTGTAGGATCGAGTCAATTTCCCTATAGAGAGTCTGTTTCTCTTCTTATCTCAAACAACAGTAAAAATATAATAAAGGCAAGTTAGTACAAGCGCGTTACGAGCCTTAAGCTACTTGGGAAATGATGATTGAGCGGTCTCCTCTCAATCGTCTAGGGTGTTTAGTATATGTCCTTTGGACGATATGCGACGCATTCGCTCCTAAGTCATAGTCTCTAGTGCTGTGCAAACTACAGACAACTAAAAAACACTTATTTCCATAAAAAACAGAAAACAAACATCCAAATCCTTTTTGTCCTCTTGGACCCTTAATCAGGAAAACTCTTTGCATAAAGAGAGTTCTGTTAACTTTCAGTTCTACCGCAAACAGTAACGCATAAGTCTCCAAGGATCGAGCTGTAAACACCAACTGCTAGAACTGTCTGTTAACTTTACTTGGATAAAAGACGCTGAACAAACCTGTGTTCTCCGTAGCTCGAACTACGTTTGCTCTGATCTTTCATGCCGTATGAAAGTACGTAGGCACGAGATGCGATATCTCGGCGAGCAACCTTCCCCCATATCCCGTAGTTAGGCGAACTACGTTGACTCTGATTTCTCGTTCTAGACGAGAATACGTAGGCGTAAAGTGCGATACTTTGCCGAGTCATTTTCTTTTCTTTTTAGACCAGACTCTTAGTGTAGATAGATTTAACAAACCCGTCAGATAAACATAACAAGCATGGATCCCATCGAGTACGATGGACGTGAGGGGTGCTAATACCTTCCCCTTGTGTAACCGACTCCCGAATCCAGACAATGATTGCGATGACCTTGTCTTATACCTTTTCGTCAGGTTTTTCAGATCGTTTCCTTTCTCGTTCTGAGGGATAAATAACGAAAGGTGGCGACTCTTCTGTCATTGTCGGCACCTGATTTTCGCAGTAGCGACATTCACCTATGGGAAACCATTGATGATTATCCTCCTATTCTAAAAAAACACAAAGGAATTAATGGAGTATGTTAACTGCATCTATCTATATGATCCAAAGAATCTCAAGGATAGTACAACTTGCATAACTCATGAAAAGTTCAGAAGACCAGAAGTAGGAGAAAGCTCAACTCGAGTCACGCAGTAGAATTCAGATTCTCCAATGGAAGCTAAATTTTCATATAGTTAAGTGTGTTGAGACAAATTTAGTTTATACCATGTATCCTCTAAGGTTTTTATGATAACAAAGTATTTGAAGAATAATTATGATTTCTAACTAGCTGGTTCATGTGTACATAATCCAATTTACTTGATGGAACATGTTCTATCACGGAAGAAGCTATGGTTCAGTTTAGATCAAGTTCTTGTGAGAGAGTCTGACCCTAAAGATATCTTTTGCATATTTTAGAATCAGGAGTGTGCTAACCCTGCCTCTAAAACTGATGGATGATAACTCAAGCTCAGAAATCACGAGACTCGAGAGTAGTTGATATTATCTCCAAAAGATTGTGTTGTACTTGTTGCATAGAAGAGTTCTCTGGACAAAGGCCTTGTTCAGTGGGTAATTTCTTGGCTACGAGTTCCAACACCTTTTTTATTGAAAAAAAAGATGTGCAAAAATATTGGATTTAAAAAATAGTCGTTAGGTTGCTTCAACAATTCTATTTCTTCAGCTATAAAAGGAACAGAAGAATAACAAATCAATCAAGAGAATAACACTGCAACTACAACTGGAATACACACACACTCCACACCATCTATATCAACTCAAGAGAAACTAATCCTTTAAGAGTTCTTATTCTTGTATAGCTTAAGAATCTTAGTGTTAAAGTGTGTTGTATTATATTTGAACACATCTGATTGTTACTCAAGTGTTGTTGTAATTTATTCATTCTCTAAATAGTTATTTTAGATAAAGTCTTTTGTTGTGTGCTTGAGCATTGAAGTCTTATATTCGAGGAATCTAAGCAAGAAAGTCTTGGACTGTAGGTCTAAGCAAGGAAGTCTTGAATCCGAGGGGTTTAAGCAAGGAAGTCTTGAATATGAGGGGTTTAAGCAAGGAAGGCTTGGATTTGTGGAATCTAAGCAAGTAGAACTTATACTGTAGGTCTGAGTAGGAAAAAGTCTTATACTTGAAGGTATAAGCAGTTATATTAGTGTGATTATAGTGGAAATCTCATGTACTGCAAGGGGACTGGACTACTCTCAGTTGGAGAGGAACCAAGATAACTTGTTAATCAGTTTCTAAACTTCTGTTTAGATTTTGAACTCTGGTTCAGAAGTAAAAACGATTTGGAATACACAGTTCAACCCCACTTCTTGTGTATTTTTCTCACCTTCAAAGTTGAAGAAGCTAATAAAAAATTAATGGGTCACACTTACATGATGGATGACATCTGGAAGCATGAGTCATCTCGTTATGGAGATTGCTTTTCTGACAGAAACTTATCCTATCAGAATATGTCCCTCTCTCATGAACTCATTTTTAAAGACTAATTAGACAAATGTCCCTTAGATGTCATAAGAATGAATATCATTTTTTGTCTTTTTGAGCAATAATATTACAATAATGTATCCATAAGTTATAAGTGTGTCAGAATTTTGAAAAAGGCATTCATATAGTATTAAAAATGTCATGCTTGTAAATAGTGTTGCTTTTTTCCTATATGTACCTCTTTGATTATAAAAGGACAACTCTTGCAATATAATTTCATCAAGCAGTCACAAATAAACCTTGTGTGCTTAAGAACTAACATATTCTAAAAATCTTCTCTTTCTCCCTAAAAGCTTTAGTTATTATATTCATATCATAATTCCCTCATAGATGTAAGTATGCTTTAGACCTGCCTCTAAATGAGGATCTTATGTATCAGAAAATATCTGACCATTGATCCATACTACGGTCCTCGCTATGATGAAATTTTAGTTTTAATTGTTATTTTGTGTTATGTCTATGGTTAGCTATTTGATGACGATACAATTAAGACTGATTTCATAATATGTGAGATTTTCAGACAATATGATATCAGAGTCTATACAAATAAAAAGGATACATATTGTAAAGATTTTTGCCTTTTGACTCCATTTAATCCCTATTTATAAATCGATTATATATTTATAGAACTACTTTTAAATCACTAATAAAATGAAATAAAATCATTCAAAAATATTCTTATTCGAATCACCTTGACAATAAATATATAGTATATGAATGTGACCAGAGCCACAAACAACCTTACCATTTTTGACCAATACAAACCAAACAAGGTAATACATAGTATTACTATTACATATTTCCTCTTAAACAATTGGTAAACAAAAACTCATATTTTAGACAAATATAGAAAAGTTGACACTTTCTAGTTTTTTTAATTAAATATTTTAATGCAATTTCCATTTTTAATCAATTAATTTATAACCAAAATTATATTTAAAACAAATAATACTAAGACAGTAAAAAAATTAACAAACTTATGAGATTAGTTATCAATTTTTATTTTAAATTAATCATTTTCTTAAAATGTATTTAATCAATTTTTTATAAATCTTGAATGGGTTATATAGTAAACCTTATTACTTTTCAATTTGAATGACACATTAAGAAACAAATCATTATATATCACCAATCATTAGTAACATTATATATCACCAATATAAATATATACAAAACATCATATATTTATTAATATCATCATCAACAATAACACAACTAAAATGGAGTTTTTCAACAAATCAAAAACCGTGAAGCTCCGGAGCCACCTGGGCAAGTACCTAGTAGCAGACGAAGAACACAACAACCTCCGTCAAAGCAAAAAAGGAGCAACCAAAACCGCACTATGGTTAATCGAACCGGTGGAAACAAAACCCCACCACATACGCCTGAGGAGCCACAACGGTCGTTACCTAACCGCAACCGACACGCCGTTTCTCCTTGGCATGACCGGAGACAAAGTCATTCAAGCCGATTACGACGCGGGGTTAAGCTGGAAGTACGAATGGGAACCGATAAAGCAAGGGTTCAACGTGAAACTGAGGAGCTGGTGTGGGAAGTTGTTGAGAGGGAATGGTGGAACGCCGCCTTGGAGAAATTCTATTACGCACGATGATCCTTATACTGCCGCTACGAATAATTGGATTCTTTGGGGTGTTGAGGCTGTGGATAATAAGATGAATGTTGAGTTGTTGAATAGAGTTAGTTTTGCTTCTAATGCTTCGTTTGGTTCTGGGGAAGATGAGGTTGACGATTCTGAATCGGTTTCTTCTAAGAACAAGTCTTGGTCTTCGTTGAAGATTCGTCGGAATTCCAAGTTGCAGCCAGAGGTACGTTTTTAACTTTTAACGTGCTTGCACACGCTTTATTCAGTTAGATAGATGAGGGAAAATCACAAAAAAAAATTCAATATACTTAAAATTATTAAAGTTTTAATCAAAATCAAGTAATGACCGTTTTCATGCAAGATCAAGTAAAATTATTAAAGTTATATATGTGCCAAACATATATAATGACCATTTTCATGTATTTGGAGTAAACTCAATACTTCATCCAAATTACTTCAAAAATAAATAAATACTTTATCAAATATTTCCATATGTTTCTTTCTCATATTATTACCACTTTGACTACCACAAGCCACAACTATGTTAATCACTACTTCGATATATTATAACCATTTTGACCACCACAAATCACTAGTATAGTATTATCATAAATCGATGAATCTCAAATCACTAATCACTTCAACCATGATTTTGACCACATAGGCCACCAATAATCACTACCATTGATAACAGATTATGATTGTCTGCATCCTGCAGTTACCACAATCACATGTATTTTGTGAGAGTTAGGTCTTGTTTTTGAGAGGAGAAAAGATGAATTTTCAAACTTAAAAAATTGGTTGGAATATTTTGTGAGTAAACTGCAGTGACTGCAGGAGAAATCAACTGCAGTGAATCTAATTATATTGATAACAACAACAATTAACAATGACTCGAACTATTCCTAACTACCACTTGAGCCACCATTAATCATTACTCTAACTACCACCAATCATCATCATCTATCATGCATACAATCACCTCTAATTAATCACTATTAACAATTATTATTAAATGAGTGGTTAAATATGACTCAAATTGTTGAGATAATTATGAATTGTTAAGATAATTATGAGTTGTAAAGAGTATAGCTTATATTGTTGAGATAATTATGAGTTTGTTTGTTGAGGGAAATTAAGGATTATGATTTTAGATAAACTAAAACCTCTTATTATATATATGGCTTGTAACATGTAATCTATATGCAATTCACAAGACATAAAAAAAAAGTATAGTTATTCTATAGTCACAGACGTAGGCAATTTGGTCGAACTGCGTGAACAAAACTTTTGTGTGTTTCTCTTTACTCTTACTCGGATCTGTATTTGCATTTGTGTTCTAACAATTGATATCAGATGACGCTTAATCCGAGAGGTGCGAAATTTAAAGTGACTCGGTTCGACAGAACGAGTAATTTCGGTTTATGGCAAAGAAGGGTTAATGATTTGTTGGGACGAGATGAAGGAGAGAGCTACATGTTTGATAAGACTCTGCGTTTCTGATGACGTGACGAATCATATCCTAGACCTCACAACTCTGAAGAATATCTGAGAAAAATTAGAAAATCAGTACATGTCCAAGACGCTCACGAACAAATTATTAACGAAGCAACGTCTCTATAGCTTAAAGATGTAGGAAGGCGCGATTTACAGGCTCATGTAAGTGATTTTAACAACATCCTCGCTGATTTGACACAGCTTGGTGTGAAGGTTGACAATGAGGATAAAACCATTATTTTGTTATGCTTTTTACTAAGCTCTTATGATTACCTGGTGACCACTATCACATACATGAAGGAAACAATCATGTTTAGTTTTATTTCTTCTACTCTTTTGCAACACACAAAACGTCTCCAAAGTGTAGAGGAAGATGGAGGAAGCTCAGGTGAAGGCTTGTCTGTGAAGGAAGGTCAAAAATGTGGCAAAGGCAAGGTCAAAGCAGTGATTTCTAGAAAGAAAAAGAACTTCAAGTCTAATGACAGAAAAATAGTACAATGTTATGTTTGTAAGCAAATTGGCCATTGGAACAGTGATTTTCCAAACAAGTCAGGAAACAATATTTCAACAAATGTAGCTCAATGTGATGGCTCCTGTAGTGAAGAGGATTTGCTTTATGTTTCATCTGTAAAATGCACAGATGCATGGATTCTTGATTATGGGTGCTCCTTGTAACACCCCAAATTTATTGGAATATTTATTTAATTTATTTAAATAGGAATATTCGTATTTTTGATGATTTGCGGTGGTTGGTATGAAGTATTGAAAATTATGGATTTTGAGTTATTTATTTAAATAATAGTATATACTATGAATATATTGGTATTATTATTAATTTAAATAAATATAAGTGAATTGAGGGTAAAGTGGACTGTTGAGGAGGAGTTAATGAGGGTGAAATTGGAAATCCCATTTTAAGGCCCAAAGTTAGGTTTAACAAAAAGGAATTTTGAGGGAATTAGGATTCATTCTTGTTAGATCGTGAAAAGGAAAGAAATAGAGGTCAGAGCTCTGAGGAAGAGGATTGAGCCGAAGATTCGCGAGGTTTCCAAGAATCAAGGAGAAAGGCTTAGAGTCGGCATTTAAGGTATGAGGAGTATTGCCTTCATTGTTTTCAATATGTGATTCAATGTGTTTAAAGTAAATTTAAGGGTTTAGGGATTTTTTTAGTATTGAATTGTTGTTTCCTTTCTGATGGTGAGTTCAATGAGTTTGAGGGATTTGAACTGATGGTCTAATAGGTTTGAGGCTGATTTGAGAGTAAGGGAAATTAGACCTTCGTGGCCAAATCTGTTGTTGAGGTTTCAACCCTGTAGGGTAAGTGATAATGAGAACTCTAGTGAATGTGTGGTATTTGTAGGGATTTATGGGAATTAAAGGCGTAAATATGATACGGGATTGGCCTAATAAGTCGTAGATTTTGTGCCTTTATCGCCGTAATACCTTAGGAATGATTTAGGGATAATTTAGGGATGTTTTGGGGCAATGGGGAAGGAAATCGTGTGGACTTTTTGGCTGGTTTTGGTACTGATGCGTAACAGCGATTTGCTGTAATTGCGAGTTCACACAGCGAACGAATCCTTCGCACGGTGAACACTCGCTACAGATTCGCACGACGAACTTTCCAACGAACGTAGCAGAGTTTCGCGATTCATGTTCTAGTTTCGTGATGTCTTGATGTTTTGATGCTGTGATTTTCCTGATGAATTACCATGAGTATAACTGTGATTTCTATGTGATTAAATGAATGTATGATGAATTACTATGAGTATAACTGTGATTCCTATGTGATTAAATGAATGTATGATGAATTACTATAAGTATAGTTGTGATTCCTATGTGATTAAATGAATGTATGATGAATTACTATGAATATAGATATGATTCCTATGTGATTAATACATGACCATATGATGAGTACCCATGAGTATAATTGTGATTTTTATGAGATTAATACATGATTGCATGATGAACCCCCGTGAGGAACTATGATGATTTGTGACGTTGATTCCATGAGGTTTTGATGATTCTATGATGACATGATTCTTATGATTATCTTGATGAATGATGATGCACCTAATGAGATTATTATGAGGATGATATTGACGTGTGCATCATGCATTCATATGCACTCCGGACTTCGGTCTAGGACCTTGATTCTTGTGGCTTCAGTCCCATTGTGCGGATGTGAGGTATTTTGTTGTGCTCCAATTCTCGTGTAGAATCGATCCTACTGTTGTGGATCTATGGAGGATTGATGGCCTAGTGTCCTTCGAATTTTGTTAATTGGTACCACATGTATGAGTCTTGTTGCATTTGCATTTATGTGACAATTTGGTGTAATTTATAATATTTTGGCCTTTGATGTTCCTTGATGATTATGATGATGTTGAATATGAAATGACGCTGTTTTATATATTGATTCCTATATTGATTATTATGAATCGTTTTACTCACCCTTCCTGTTTGAATATTGCCTCCACGTGGGTAATGTGCAGATGATCAGGTTTAGCCGTGGATGTTGTCGAGAACTTTTTGAAGTTTTTGCATCGTTGGCCATTGTGGTTGACTTATAGGGTCTTTCTCTGATAGTGTAACATCGGGTTGGGGTCTTTTGAGTTGAACCATATTTTATTGATTATTGTTATTTTTATTACGTTACTGCGCAAGGAAAACTTTGGATTTTTTTCTTAGAGGGTCTTTCTCTGATAGTGTAACATCGGGTTGGGGTCTTTTGAGTTGAACCATATTTTATTTATATTTGAATTATTGAGAAATGTGCGCCATTTTGAGATGATTTTATTGCGTTCAATATTTTACTCTGATAAATATGATTGATTTGTCATTATATTTGTGGGGTAGAAAAGGGTGTTACACTCCTACCATATGACGCCGCACCAAGAATGGTTCAACTCTTTTAAATCAGGTGATTTTGTATTTGTCTATTTAGGTGATGATAAAAAATTTACCATCACTAGAAAGGGGAAAATTAAAATTTCTTTGGATGATGGTGGCGTCCGCATGTTGAGTGAGGTGCGTTACGTTCCAAAATGGAGGAAGAATTTGATTTCTTTAGGTACTCTTCAAGCAAATGGCTATTAATTTCAATCAGATGGAGATAAAGACATCATGAGGGTTAGCAATGGTGCAATGACAATGATGAGGGCAAGGATGACTACAAGAAATATTTATAAGTTGTTAGGGGGAACAGTTATGGGTGATGTAGCATCTGTTGAAACTGATAATGATGCAACTAAATTGTGGTACATGCGCTTGGATCATCTGGGTGAACGTGGGATGATGGAACTACATAAGAGAAATTTGTTGAAGGGTGTTCACAGTTGCACAATTGGATTGTGCAAGTATTGTGTTCTTGGGAAATAGATTAGAGTTCGTTTAAAGACCAGGCAACACAAGATCAGTGGAATCTTAGACTATGTCCATTCTGATGTCTGGGGTCCTAGAAAAGAGCCCTCCATTAGAGATTCCAAGTACTTTGTGACACTCACTGATGATTTTTCTCATAAGATCTTGGTTTATTTCATGAGATATAAGTTTGAGGTATTTTCCAAGTTCAAACTATAGAAGGCGAAGGTTGAGAACTAGGCAAGGAGAAAAATAAAGTATTTGCGGCCTAATAATGGAACTGAATACACAAACAAGAAGTTCATGCATTTCTATGAGGAGAATGGAATCCATAGGCACTTTTTGTAAGGAAGACATCACAACAGAATGGTA